GGGTGGCCGGGAGGCGGCGGGACGTGGCCGCCGCTAAACCCGCCTCACCCTGCCCCGCTCCTGCGCCCCGCCGGGGGCTGCCGCTCCCCGGAGCTTCACCCCTCCGCTCCCGGCTCGCCCCGGGCCGCGCCTCGGCCGGGTGGGGCCTCCCCGGCCTGCGCCGCCGGTGTCGCCGCCCAGGCCCAGTGCCCACGGTTGGGCCCAGTGCTGCTGCCCGACGTTGCTGCCCAGGCCCGGTGCCCGTGGGTGGGCCCAGTGTCACTGCCCAGGCACGGTGCCCGTGGGTGGGCCCAGTGTCGCTGCCCAGGCTTGGTGTTGTTGCCCAGGCTTGGTGCTGCTGCCTAGGCCCAGTGCCCTCTGCCCAGGGCCCAGGCCCGGAGCCCGTGGGTGGGCCCAGTGTCACTGCCCAGGCCTGGTACTGTTGCCCAGGCTCGGTGCTGCTGCCTGGGCCTGGTGCCCACTGCCCAGGCCCGGTATCGCTGCCCAGGCCTGGTGTTGTTGCCCAGGACCAGTGCCCACAGGTGGGCCCAGTGCTGCTGCCCAGGCCTGGTGCCTGTGGCTGGGCTCAGTGCTGCTGCCTGCTACCCAGGCCCAGTGCCCACCACCCAGGCTGGGTGCCTGCTGCCCAGGCTGGGTGCCTGCTGCCCAGGCCCGGTGCCCGCTGCCCAGGCCTGGTGTTGCTGCCCAGACCCAGTGCCTGCAGGTGGGCCCGGTGTCACTGCCCAGGCCTGGTGGTGTTGCCCAGGCTTGGCGCTGCTGCCCAGGACCAGTGCCCTCTGCCCAGGCTTGGTGCCTGTGGGTGAGCCCAGTGTCACTGCCCAGGCCTGGTGCCCGCTGCCCAGGCTTGGTGCTGCTACCCAAACCTGGTGCTGTTGCCCAGGCCCAGTGTCAATGCCCAGGCCCAGTGCCCGTGGCTGGGCCCAGCCCGCAGAGTCGGGCAGGTTGGGAGCAGTGCCAGCATCAGGGAGGGCTGACCCCGGCATGGCCGAGGGGCCAGAGGGGTGTCAGCAGAGCCAGGCTGGGCACAGGGTGGACGTGAGCCAATGTCAATGGCAAAGGGTAAAGTGGGAGCCCAGCGTGTGCGTTTCGGTTCGATCTAAGGCATGTGAACTCTGCGGCAGGAGCTGCTGCCTTCTCGCTGTTATTCAGCACTCAGGGTGGGAGGACAGTGACATTGAGGAAATGTTAAAATATCAGTGATAAATAGCAGTTTCATGGCAGATTTCCTGAGGGGATGGCTAAAACACATTCACTTTTGGTTGTTTTTTCTTTCTTATTTATTGCTAGGTCAGTTTGGGCCAGTTTCAGTCACGGAGCAGACGAACACTAGGGCACCGTAAAGAGCATGTGAAGGAGAAAGAGTCTTCAGCAGCACTGGCTGAGACAGCCTTACACTGACTCATGGCATCCCGCTGGCACCCCGTGCCTCCTAGAGAGGAGAAGTTTGTCTCCTGAGTTATGTGATGGAGAAGCTGGAGTTCACTCAGGCGAGCAGTAACCTCAGCCCTGACATTAGCCCTGTGAGCTTGGCCATAAAGCCTCTTCATGGGGTTGAGCCAAGGCTCTGGTGTCTGATTTGATGGGAAAAGCTGTGCCCATTTCTGTGTGTTTCCTTGGTAGACTGCATCATGACCCATAAGTACAAAGTGGGGGTAATTCTGTCAGGACCAATGGGATTATTTCAGATTTACATAATTTTAGGGGAGAATCTACCTTCTTAACTGTTAGATACAGAGAGAGAGCCTTTCACTACTACAGATTAATTTGTGTCCTCTCCTCTGGCTGTCTGTCCAACACACTGTTAAATTTAAAACTCGTTTTAGGGTTCCAATACTTGCTGATCCTGCAATATGGCTCTTGGAAATGGCCTCTGAGAAGAGAGAACTGGAGACCTTGGATCTGTGCTGACTTTGTGCCTGTGATAGGTTCCTGTTCAGAGGAAAGGTGTGTGTTTCCATATCAATCAAAGTCTTTCAGCTACTGTTTTGATACTTCTCAAATGTTACAAGTACTTTTGTCATCCTTTTTATTCATGGTAAATTTTCTTCTGCTTGGCACGCCAGGAATGTATGTGTAGCTGCAGTGAAATCGGCTATATGAGACCCCTTGGAATAAGATTCAAGGTGATTTTCATTATGGGACAAAGGATTATGGGGCAAAAAATGTCTGATATTTTTATTTAGATTATTTTTTTCTTATATTTTTATTGTGCCCCGTTTTTGGCAAGAGCCAGATGTTAGCTTGGGTTTTTTCACCTGAGTTCTTTGACAACTTGTCCTGCACAGTTAGCGAGGAAGAAAAACATTAGGATTTTCTGAGATTGTGAGTAGGACCAAAGTCGGGGTGTCTCTTATGCCAGACTTCTGTAGAGGCCTCACCAATGTTTCGTAGCATTGGGGTGGCGAAATTGGCTGATGAAGAAAGTCCTTGAGAACAGGAAGACTAAAGAGCTTGTTCTCCTTCTGTGTGCTTATTGTGAGAGCTATGGACATCATGACTGGATATTAACATTATCATTAATATCCAACAAGCAGCAAAGCATATAGTAACAGAAATTCTTTACATACAGCACAATGAGAGCCTATAAGAAATAATGATAGTACTTAACAGCTAATATTACAATTAATTGTTTGTGTTTGCCTAGCACCTCTGCACCCTGGGGTGGGCCATGGGTATGTTTAGTGAGATGCAATAACTCCAGGCAAGGAGATGATACGGGTTAAGGTCCTGCTGCATCGACAGCCTCGCCAGGGCACCACTGCACTGTTGGGAAAACAGCGTCTGACCGCCTGTAGCTGCTGTGTCAACACCCACAGGATATCTGAGGGAAGGCCTGGCGTTTGATCGCCGCTCTGATACCGCCTGGCAATTTACACAAGCTGGGGACATGCCTCCAGAGTATTTTTGGTTGAGCGTTGTCTAAACACAAGAGCTTTTACGGTTCATTTCCTCAGCTTGTCTTGAAACAAAACCAAGGGAGGACCTTAAGCCCTGATGGGTATCTGGCCCGTCCTGGCTGGGTGGGGAGGGTGCTGGTCCCCTGCTCCTCCCAGCGTCTGCAGAGAAAGCTGCAAAGTGGTGTTTTCTGCAAGTGAAGAATTTAATCAGCTCTGGCTGGAGGGCTGGGCCCTCCGCGCTTTCGCTCTCTCCGAAACAGCTAATCACAGGGCCCACGATTTCGAGCCTTTTAAGCGCCTGGTTGCTGCTGGGCCATATTTGGGCAACGGAGGTTCTGCAGCGCCCGCGGACGCCGCGGATCTGCTCCTCGCCGGAGCTGCGCCGGAGATAGCGCGCTGCTGCGCCGGGGCCAGCCTGTGGGTTTTGCACGGCTCCTAAGCAACGCGAGTAAATAGAGCATTTCGCAACCTCCACCAACAGCGGTTGCTACACTTTCATCTATAATTATCTCCTGCATCAGCGCTCTCAGCAGCGACCGGCCTACCAGATTTTGCAGGATATTTTGCATCGGGCTTCGGCTCGCCTGCCTTTCCTCTCGCATTGCCAGTCAGGATAATGCTCCCCAGACGAGAGGAGGAACAGCAGTACCCTGCAGACCGGAGGAACGTGCGATGCGCTGGAAGCCAAGGAACGTTCTCTCGCCAGGCTCGCTTCTGAGGGCTGTTTATATTCTCTGCGCTTCAGAGCTTTGTTGTTTGAACAAGGCCTTGTAACTTGCCCCAAAAGGCTGCCAAATATAATTCTCAGCGTTTGGAAAAGCCCGAGACACAAATTATCTGTAGGAAAAGAGCCTGTGACTGCGGGAGAAGGAAGGCAGAGTTCTCCCCTCCTCCCTTTGGGGTTTCTCAGTGTTGCTGTCAGAGCTGCAGCTCGGCGATCCTGAGATAACGTCTGTTCTAGGCACTAGCTCGCACTTCATTGCTAAGCCAAGAATAGAGCCCGGCATTCTTCACCCTCGACATCCTATTTCTGGTGGTGCAGGCTCCCAGCAGAGCGTGTGCCGGATCCCGCCTCGCTGCCAATCCTCGGCGAGGCTCGGGCTCTTCCCTCCGCTCCTAGAGCTGCAGAGCTGGGCTCAGGGTCTGAAACCCAAAATGCTCATTGCCCTGAGGGGCTGAAGACACCGGTGTCCACGCCCTGCCCAAGCCTTTGCTGCAGCGATCCTTGGATTTCTAACAAAAATTCTGGGTTTTATACTTTTTCACCGAACTTCAGAATCAAAGCCTCCTCTGAACAGGGTTCAGTGCTTCAAAGCAGGGAGCAAGCCCTCGCCAGCAGTACAGCAGGTCACACAACAAAACCCCACTTACTGTGCCCCCTGCTTGATGTGTAAATCCAGTTACTTGAGTTAAAGCGCGGCAGGTTTTCAAGCTCAAAGGTGTATGGTAATGAGGTAGCTTTGGTTGGGAAATACATGTTCAATGCGTAGAGAAAAAAATAAAGAAGGAGGGCACCGTTCAGCAGCCTGGTAGTCCAAAGGCTGTGAGTTTGCATGGATAGGATGAGGAGGTAATTAATACTTGCTAATATCTGGGGTGCAATCCCAAGGGTTGCTGAGCACCCTGGGATGGGACAGGGGGTTGGTCTGAGGCTTTAGGTGTGGGTCTGCAGCAGCACGGGGACAAGGAACAGTGGGGTGAATTCTTATTGTCCCCTTGCAGTGCAACCCACAAGAAGGAGTTTTAAGATGTTGGGTTCTTACACAGTCGGGATTGTGTCTGAATTGTCTGTATCCACAATTGTTGGCATCAACAATCCCAGAATCCCAGAGTGATGTGGGGTTGGCAGGGACCTCTGGAGAGCACCCAGGCCAACCCCCTGCTAGAGCAGGGGCACCCACAGCAGCTCCCACAGCAACGTCTCCAGGGGGGTTGCAATGTCTCCAGAGAAGGAGACTCCACCACCTCTCTGGGCAGCCTCTGCCAGGCCTCTGCCACCCTCACACCAAACAACGGCCTCCTCATGGTGTTCCCATGGAGCTTCCCCTGCTCCAGTTGGTGCCCGTTCCCTCTTGGCCTGGCCCTGGGCACCACTGGGAAAAGCCTGGCCCCATCCTCCTGACACCCACCCTGGAAGGATTGCCAGGCCTTGAGCAGATCCCCCCTCCCTCTGCTCTTCTCCACACTAAACACACCCAAGGCCCTCAGCCTTTCCTCAGCACAGAGATGCTCTAGGCCCCTCACCATCTTGGCAGCCCTTTGCTCTGCCCTCTCCACCACTTCCCTGTGGTTCCTTCTGGAACTGGGGAGCCCAGCACTGGTCCCAGTGCTGCAGCTGGGGCCTCCCCAGGGCAGAGCAGAGTGGGAGAATATGCCAAGTGACATCAAGGTGACAGATTTGCTGTCTTGGGGAGCTGGTGGCTCTTGGACACAGCACCATGGTGGGCAAACTCGGCAGCTTCACCGCTGGCCAAGGCTGGGAGAAGCCATGGAGCAGCTGCCCCTTTGTTTGCAGTTAATTTGAGCAGAGCTGGCACCCTTGTCCCTTGCTCCTTCCTTCTGCAGGACTTTTGAAATGACCAGTGGGCAAACCGGGATGATAGAAAAGACCATGGAAACAGCAAAGGCAGGGTTTTTTTGTTTTACTCACAGGCGTTAGGATTTAAAAGTAAATTCAGGTTTTTGTAACCTGGTGAGATCACCAACCTGGGTCAGCCCAAAACGGTAAAACCCCTTGGGCGATTTGCTATAAAACTCTGGAAGAGGCAAAGAGGCAGGCCTCTCCTCAATGGCTTTTTGCTTTGTTGGAACCTAAATAATTGTGATTCAAGAGGCATGTTTTTAAGTAGACGTTGGTCTGAATATGGGCAGCATGAATTTCAACCAACAGTTGCCCTGCAAGTGCTCAAACCACTGGAGGAAGGACACTGAATGAGCAGCTTCTTCCCCTTCAGGGACATTGGTGACAGGGATAACGTGACATTTTTCATTATTTACATCCCAGGCTGGCTTTAACAGCAGCAAAGGCTGCGAAACCTAAAAATTACTGATTTTTTTGTGTGCGCAAGGAGGCAAATGCTGATTTT